ACACCTCTGGCCCGAACCCCAGTTCTACACACACACAAATTTTTTTTAAAAAGTCACTTCCACTTTTAGCTTCCGTTTCTTCACCTTTGCCAGCTGCCTACAGAGCTTTACATCAGTTCTAGCAATGATCATAAAAATCGCTATCAGTGTCAAACTAGGAAGTTCACCAGCACACGATGAGGGTGAAAGGGAGGAGCGGGCGGAGGCCGAGGGGATAATGACGTGGTGGTGAGGATGAGGATGGCGCCGGTGGCTCTCCCAGTCTTGCACGTGCTAACTCTGCCATGTGCTTCATTCCACCTGTCACTTGCATGAAGTGGCTTCTCACAAAAACCTATGAAGTTGCTCCACGCACTATCCTCATCCAGGGCATGTAGGTGGCTCTCCCCAGGCCAGGTAGCTAAAGCCCAAGCGCCAGGCTGCTTGGTGCCAGACATGCCCTCTAGGCTGAGATGCGTCCCTCCAGGGCAGGGGGACTATAATACAGACGTTCTTATCGTACTAAAAAAGTAGCCAAGAGAGGGTCCCTGCTGGCCTAGTGGCTGAGTCTCAGTACTGCCACCACGATGGTCTGCTGCCAGTGAAGGCCCCCAGGGCGCGGCAGACCTCTGCTACTTCCCGCTGCTCCCCTCAGCAGGATTTCAGTAGATCTGCCTGTTGTGCTCCCACTCCGTCTCGGGGGGGGCCTCTCACCGCTCCATACCTTGGGCCTACATCCCAGTTCTCTTTTTGCCTCAGAGAGGCTGTCGCTTTCCCAAGTACGCAGAGCTACCAGGGGCAGATTGCGGTTTTGAAACGAGTTTGTTGTGCCCCCAAATCTGCTAGATTTTGACCATGTCCAGGAACTGGTGTCCTGCCCTGTTGTTAAGAGATGTTCTTGGGTGGGCAGGAAGGACTAACACGTGACACCTGGCCTCTTCCCGGGGCTGCCTGGCTGTGCGGGGGACCAACCCTGAGGCTCTGAGGGCCGTCCCCGTTCATGATGCGTGGGTTCTGAGGGGAGTCTGACCACTCTCTGACTGAGTATTATGTTAGACTCCTGCAGGAAGACTATTTTGGGCTCAGCTTATGCAAACTTGCCTACTGAGACACCCTAAGATGGCGAGTCATTGTGCCTGTAGACCCTGACCTTGGTGCTGAAACAAGGTCCCAGTCAGCACAGTGGACAGCAACAGCGGCACCCACTGTCTTGGGGTGGGGTCCTGCTGGGTACAATGGGGTAGGTGTCTAGACACTCGTTTGGGGAGACACTCGGAGCAGCGGGTGATGCTACTTCCATCCCCATCCCTTGAATCCTAGACTTGTCAATGGTGATTATTGCAAAAATGGCCCCATAGATTCACTGCTGATGATGTGTCGTATTCCATCCCTGCTAGAGAACTTTGCATCAACCCTGCAAGGTCCTGTCACCTCGTTGCCACTGTGACAGAGTCTCCCAAGGGATTTCCTGCCATCTGCCAAACCTGGTTCTTCAGGACACGTGAGTGGTGCATTCTATGAGCATGGGTGCTTTGCCCCACTTTTTGGGACAATGAGCTTTCTGGTCAACAGCAACGATGTGTGGGATAGCATGGTTGCAAGTCAGCTGTTCTATAAGTCCACCAATAGTAGTTTGGGCAGCAACATTGCGTGTAGGAAAGAAAAATGTATATGCAGAGTAAGAGTCAGTCACAGTAAGGACAAATCACTGCCCCTTCCATAAAGACTCCAGTCATCAAGCTGCCACAGGGGGCTGCCTGATCACCCCAGGGAACCGTGCCCCAGCCGGGCTCAGGGAGGCCTCTGCTGCTGCAGACTGGACACTCAGCGGTGGCTGTCACAGGCCAGCCTGGTGAGTTGGAAGCCCATCTTGTTGAGCCTTAACCAGAAGACGCTTTCAGGCACTTGTCACCGCTGCACGCCAACCAAGTGGAAACAAGAATGGAATCTTTAATGTGTGCTTCAGTCAGACAGCTGGGCATCTGGGAGTGGAGGGGTTAACACCTGAAAGAAGCAGCCTCGCTTTTCATTTCCAGTGAGCGAAAGAAAGGCAGTCCAGCAGTGAGCAGGCCTCGTTGCCGCCAGGTGCTGGCGATGTCCAGCCCCTGGGGCTCTCTGTTGCCCTCCTGGACACCTGCTTTCCCTCTGCGCTGAGGCTGGTCTGCAGGTAATGCTGCTCTCTGCACCCCTCCGGATGTGTCCTGGGGCTGGAAAATTAACTCAGAGGAGACAGACCATAGCATTACGTGTGCAGATCGCCTCCCCACCCTGCCTTACTGAGGTGATGCTGTCTGCAACACTTCAAGTGATCAGGTCCTCGCCTCATCAGATGTATGTCTCCACCCCACGCCCCCATCCAAGCCCCCAGATTCCTTTACCCTAGACCACGGCACCCCTCAAACTTTGTTCCCATGCTGTCCCCCCCCCCAAGTATACATTTCTCTTGTATGTTCCAGCTTTCTCCACAGTGCCCAAAACTCTTGAATTTCCTCAGTGCTGAATTTTTCGAGTGAGCAAGGTGTCTTGTTATGCAAATGAGGTGGCTTTCTTCACCTAGGGTGGTGGCAGATTGCCTGGAGAAATGACCTTGTAAGCAGTGACACAGGGGTTAGTATTTCCGGTCCTCCACAGTCTCCGAGGAGAGAAGGGCTGGGGGTGAGTCAGCCGTCATGGACAGCTGTTTAGTCACTCTCAAGTCTGGGTTATGTGGCCTTCGTAAAATCCTAGTGGACGAGATTAGTGAACTCCCCGGTTAGACACCTGTGGAGCTGTGCAGGGCGGCCTGGGGAGGGCCCGGAGCTCGGGTGCATGCCGCACCCCGATTGCTTCGTCTGGCTGCTCCCGAGCTGTGCCCTCTCACAGGGAGCCAGGATGTAGGTGTCAGTGGCTTTTCTGAGCTCTCTTGAGTCACTCTGGCAGGTTAATGAAACACAATGAAGGGGTATGGAGACTAATATTGGGGTGAAAGAATTCACCAGAGACTGAGTGGAATATAGGGCAGGTTGGCTTACCGGAGTGTCCTGAAAGGGAGCAGGGGTGAGACGGAAGCTGCACTTCTGCCTGCAAAGAAAAATTTGAGGTTTTCTTTTGTGCTGTCTTTGTGGAACTTTCTAACGTGGGCACCCACTGGCACCGGTTCTCTGTTGAGATGTCTGGTGTCAGGCACTGGTCGCCGCAGAGAACCTGTCCTGGCCCTACTCTGGGTGGGGCTCGGCTGTTTTTCTCTGGAGCAGGGTGGGTTTGGGCCCTGCTTTCTGTAGCAACGTTATGAAGCTTCTATTGTCTAGTCAAGCCTCCTAAACTTGCCTGCTGGGCAAGGAGTGGGGACTTAGTGAGCCACTGGAGGTCACTAGGGGGCTAATTGGCTGCACGGGTACACCCTGAATCACACCCGATGGGAGAGCTCCGCCCAGGCCAGGGGCGGCTGCCTGGTGACTGTGACCCCAGAGCCGCCCTTCTGGCAGACCCAAAGCTTCTCCCCCTGCCACCAGGTGGTGCAGGTCCAGCCCTGCAGACACTCACCCACCTGGACGGTGCACTCATGGTGACTCACACCCTCTCCCTGACCCACTGCGCCCGTGAGGCGCATGTTTGCGCAATGACCTGTCCCTCCATTATCACTGTCTGTCCTGGCTGATCTGGGTTCGCCACTCCCCGGCTGCTCAGAAGGGCGCTGCAGGCTCTCTCAGCTAAGGAACACTGGGGTCTCCAGGCCACGACTCCGGGCACGCCCAGCTGTCAGCCCAGGATGTCGGTGCCGCTGGCTAGGAGCGCCCCGAAGGCTGCGGTGGAAGTGGGGTTTCCACTGGTCAGACGCCAGCCCGGCAAAGCGGAACTTTCCCTGGACACCACTAGGGGGCGCGAGTGTCCCGCTGGCATTTTAAAGAACAGGCAGACACCTGCTGCCGCGGGCTGGCGTTAACCTCTGCTGTATTTAGAGGAATGTTTACGCACTGAGCCTCAAGGCAGCTTTGCCTGAGGTGCCAGTGCTATGTGGTTTTGTACAAACATTCCCATCTAATCCTGTACAAACCCTCCGAGGCGCATCTTAGTTTTGACTCTGTTGAAGAGTCAAGAGTAAGGAAAGACATGTTATGTCTCCTGCTGAACTGAGGTGTTTCCTAACCTGCTATGAGAAGATGCTCACATGCACACACACGTTCCCACAAGCACCACGGCCTGAGCTGCTGCCTTCACTTCTGTGCTGGGCTGTTCACCCTGTGGGGTCTAATTTCCTAAGGAATTGTACAAACCTCCTCCCTACCTGGCTTCAAACGAAGCTTCTGCAACACGGAGAACCCTGCAGACCACCAGAATGCACTGAGTTTAAGATGCTATATGCTGTTTCAAATATGATAGCGGCAGATACAATGATGAAAATGAAGGGCTTCTCTGAACGGTGGAGAGACCACACAGCAGACCCCGTAGCAAAGCCACGCCCCCGGCTGCTGTGCGTTTTGATCTGATACAACCTCCGACCAAACCTGGAGCTTCAGATAAAGGGAGGACAGACGACGCTACTTTGAAGTCAAATTATTAAAAATTGAGGAACTCAAAGCAGGACGCTGTGGTAGTCAGGAATTCTCCTCACAGTTCTGACGTGGCGCCCCAGAGCTCCCCTCAGGAACGGCGTGTTTACAGGAGACGTGGCAAGGAGGTCCCGGGGCGCCGAGGCTGGACCTGCGTGGATGGCGTGTCCGGTTCCAGCCGGGCCACTGTCCACTTTGGGCAGGAGGGACTTTGAGGCGAGCGTAACCCGGGACCTACAGCAGAGAGGTGGTCTGCTGGTCAGAGTGAGTCTGTCTGGGACATGGTCCTGGCAGCCGGGACCAGACAGGGGGCCCGGGGTTTGGGCCGGACAGCAGCTGATGTGAAGTGGAGCCTCACAGGGGTCAGCTGAGCTGCACATCCACTGCCAGCCCAGCCCCCAGGGACAGTTCCCCTTCCTGTGGGGAAAGATGTCACAACTACGACAGGAAGGAGTGTCCCCACCCGTGGTCTGTCCATCCTGCCCCCTGGCCTCCTGCACAGCGGCTCCTGGAGAGGCCGCCATGACTCCCAGCCTCACGGCCCTGCTCTGCCTGGGTGAGCTGTGAGGAGGGGGCGCCCTGGTCTGGGGGGCCACGGCAGGCCCTGGTCGCAGGAGGCCCCGGGGAAGGTCTGTCAGGACTCGGGGGGCCTCTCACCGGACTCTCTTCCAGGGCTGAGTGTGGGTGCCGGGGCCCCAGAGCAGGCAGGTGAGTGTGTGCCCAGGTGTGAGGTGGCTGCATCTCCTCACTGGGAGGGGCCAGCCCTGGGCAGCTGGGGGAGACCAGGGTTCCGGGGTGATGGAGGGGACGTTGGAGGGGGGGTGGTCCTGGGCTGAGGGCTGGGAACTGAGGGGTGCCTCTGACAGGCCTGATTTCCTTGCAGGGGCCCTCCCCAAGCCCTCCCTCTGGGCTGAGCCCGGCTCTGTGATCCCCTGGGGGGACCCTGTGACCATCTGGTGTCAGGGGGCTCTGGGGGCCCAGGAGTTCCGTCTGTACAGAAAGGAAAATTCAGGGTCCTGGGACAGACAGAGATCACTAACACCCGGAGAAAAGGCCCAGTTCTCCATCCCACACATGACAGTGAACAATGCAGGGATATATCGCTGTCTCTATCGCAGCCCCGTTGGCTGGTCAGAGGACAGTGACCCCCTGGAGCTGGTGATGGTGACAGGTGAGACACACTCAGGCTCCGGCCTCAGGCTCTGCCCTAGGGAGGGGTCTGGACTCGGGTGTCCCCCTCTGACCGCCCAGCCTGGGGATCAGCGGCTGCGGGGTCCCGTTTAACACCCTGTCTCCCCTCTCCTAGAGACCTACCCCCAGCCCAGCCTCTCAGCCCTGCCAAGCCCTGTGGTGACCTCAGGCGGGAACGTGACACTCCAGTGTGGCTCCTGGCATGGGTTTCATGGGTTCCGTCTGACTAAGGACGGAGAACACAATTCCTCCTGGACCCTGGACTCACAGGGGCTCCGCGATGGACAGTTCCAGGCCCTGTTCCCCGTGGGCCCCGTGACTCCCAGTCACAGGGGGCCGTTCAGGTGCTATGGCTACCACAGGAATGAACCCCAGGTGTGGTCACGGCCCAGCGAGCCCCTGGAGCTCCTGGTGTCAGGTAAGAGTCCCATGCTGGCCCATCCCAAAGTTTCCAGGCCACATACTGGGGCCTTTGCGCCCAGGGGAGCCCCTGTGAGCTGATGGGGTGACCCTGGGACTCCTGGGCCAGAGCCACGGTGTGAACTGCAGGGACTCTGGGGTGCGGGCGGAGAAGGTGCGTTTGGAGGCCTGCCCTGCCATGCCTGCTCTGCAGGGGGGTGCCCTCTCTGCAATACACAGGCATCCAGATCTCTGCAGGCTATTATACGGGAGCCCCAGCTCTGATGGGCAATAAGTGGGGTGCTGGGTCCTCAGGGAGGGAGGGAGAAGAGAACAGGGAGAGGGGAAAGGAGGGACCCCAGGGCACAGAGATGGGGACCCGGGAGAGAGCTGGTGGCCCTCGGCTCAGGACACCTGGGAGAAAACCACGTATCCAGTGCTTCTGGAAACTGGGGCGAGGGGGTGAGATGGGGAGAAGCAGGTGGATTCTCCCCAGTCTGTCCTGTCCCCCGATCTTCCCCAAATGCAGATGTCCCCCTGCTCCCCTCACCCAGAGAGCGGCTCTGCTCCCTGGTGAAGAGCGTGACAGCCTCGGGGACCTGCCCCTCCCACGACCTGAGGTGGCCCGTGGGCCCGGGCTGCGCAGGGGCCTCTGTCCATCGGGGTCCTCTGCCGGCCCCGCCCGGCTCCCCCTGGACCCTCACTGTGCCCCTCGGAGGCCAGGGAGCTCCCACACAGACCTGCCCTGAGGCCGCAGAATGCAGCTGTCCCGTCCCTCC